CCCCCTTCTTTTCCCCTCTGCTTGATCCGGCCGCGCCGAACCTTTTGAGCAAGACGAGCCCCCCGCCATCCCTCAACATTCTTCACGCCCCAGCAGCAGGACTGCCTGTCCCTGCAAAACCGTCTGCAGCACCCTCGCCGACACCGACGACCTGCCACCGCCGGGACCAGCACCCTCACCAGTACTGTCGTCAGACAGCGGCGGCGCCGCGCACCCACGATGACGCGACACGATGGAAGCTCGCAGGTGCCGATCATCTTTGAGCGGCAGCCAAACGTCCGGCAGATCTTGGCGCTGCAGGACTATGCGCTCGACCAGATCTGGTGGAACGCGCCCCTCGTCATCAGCCAGGCGCTGCTCCTCGCCGAGGTCCTCCGCACCTACCCGGCCGAGGCGGCCATGCTGCGCCGCATCTACGTCCGCAAGAAGCTCAACCTCGCCGAGATGATGTTCTTTTCCATCAAGTACACGTCGCTCCTGTCGGTCATCCTCACCACGCTGGTGCAGCTGGTACGTGGCGACCGATTTGTCTCCAACAGTCTGGGGTCTGCCGTTTGGCTGACCCACACTCCTCGCCATTCTGACGGGCGCCTTCTGCTTCCGCTGCCGCGCAGACCAAGGTGCCCGGGACGGATGCAAGGTGCATGGCCTTCTCGTGGGCGTCCAACATCTTGACGTTCGCCATCTGCACGCTGGTCGTGGCGACGATTGCCTGGCGCACGTCGATCATCTTTCACCGCTCGAGGCGGGTGCTTGCGCTCCTCGGCGCCGGCCTGCTGGTCCAGGTCGGTCTGACTGCCTGGGCAGTCATCAACTACTACCGCGTGAGTGGCAGTGGCGCGCCGCGCTGCAGCAGCCGGGCGGCAGGAGCAACGATGAGCCAGAGGGATGCGGACGACAGAGACAGGTCGCTGCGGGTGCTGACCGTCACACCCGTCCCGCATCCCAACTCCCGCAGACGCCCATCGCGCTGCCCAACGGCCTGTGCGCGCCGCAGCAGACGAACCACAAGGCGGACCCGAGCTTCTTTGAGCTCTCGACGTTCTGGTACGTGCTGTACAACGCGCTCTTCGACCTGGCCATGGTGGTCTCGTCGTCGGCGCGGCTGTGGCAGAGCGCGCGCGGTCCGCTGGGCTTTGCGCGCGTCTCGTCGCTGCTGTTTGCCAACAACGTGCACTACGCCATCTGCGCCGACGTCGTCAACCTCGTCGAGCTGGTGACGATCCTCGGCTTCCGCGGCAGCGTGCCGAGCTACCAGTACCTCGTCATCGCCATCCAGGGCATGGTGGGCATGCAGATGCTCATCACCGAGCAGGAGGCCGTCTACGCCCCTCGCGGCGCGACGGTGGCGTCGTACAACTTTCCGCTGCAGAGCATCGGCGGCAGCCACCACGGCGGTGGCGGCGCGTATGGCGGCGGCGGCGGCGGTGGTGGTAGTGGATGTGCCACGTCCGCCGGCTTCGCGCACGGCGGCGGTGCGGGCTCGACGTCGTTGTCGTCTGCGCAGGCGCTGCGAAAGAGCAAGCACCACGCAGATGCCACATCGATGGGCTCGCTGGCTACGCTGAACATGACGACGCTCAGCGAGCCCGACGAGCCGCGGATGCGCGTCTCGACGGCGTTTGAGCGCAGCGTCGACCACCCGCGATCGGGCACGCCGGCGCCGTTTAGCGAGAAGAGCGCGCCGCCGCTTGCGCCCGTGGCGGGCCAGGACCTCGTGCTGTCGATGACGACGATCACCACTACCGCCACGAGCTACGCGGACCCGGATGGCAAGACGGCGCCCTCGCTGGCCTTTACCCGGCTGCGGCAGCGGCACCATGCCAGCGACGGCGGCATCCTCGACGATTCCCTCGACGACGACGACGACGACGACGACCTGAAGCAGAGCCCGAAGGAGCGAGGCGCCGTCGTCCCCCACGGGCCGGGAGCCGGTACCGGCGGGCTGGGACGAAAGGGGACAGGGGCAGTGAAGGAACTCGAGCACACGTGCGGCAACGGCGAGCCCGTCAAGGACCACAAGGGCATCGGCATCGACGTCGACGATGTCAAGAGCCACGCGTCGAGCGACGACACGCGCGAGATGATCGTAGACCTCGCCGATCCCGCCGTGTCGCGCTCGTCGTCCTTCTCGTCGTCGTCGTCGTCGGCGTCGTCCTTCACCTTGTCGGGATGCCCTCCACCCTCCAAGGTCTTTGCCGCCACATCCTCACCGACAACGACGACGACGGTGGAGACCAGCAAGCCTCTGGCGCCGCAGCCTCCGACGTGCGACGGTCCGCGCGGCATCGAGGGCCGTCGTGCGCCCTCTCCGATCCCGTACCACCCCCCGCAGCTGCTCGACCATCCGTACACCCAACGACCTCGGACGGCCGATAGGCCTCCTGCCTCGGCACCCGCGTCGTCGTTGGCATCCCTTTCCCATTCCTCGAAGCAGGGACGGGCGGCGGCGGTCATCGTGCACCTCGACGACGTTGATGCTTCAGACGACGAACACGCTCGCGCCCCGCACGGGCACCGGCAGCGGGAGCGGGACGGCGAGACGAGTCCCGGCTCGGCCTTTTCCGTCGATGGCGCGCACCACCGTTCGCTGCGCCACGTGGGCGGAAGCGTCCAGTCGCTCAAGCAGACGGTGCGCGAGCGCCTCGATTCGATCCGCGCTCGCGCGCTCTGATCGCCCGCCCGGCCGGGCCCATACGCACCTGCCTGCCTGCCTGCCTGCCTATCTTGCTCTCTCGTCCTGCAGTCCTCTCTCTGCCTTTCTCCCCCTTCTGAAGAGGGAGCAGAGGTACGACCGTCGGTTTGAGGCCCCCTCATTCCTTTTCCTGCGTCCCTTTCACCCTCGTTTTTGCCTGGTGCCTCGTTGTCGCCATTCCTAACCTGTCCCTTCGACCGTCTTGCCGCGCACACACTAGTCCCTTTTCCGCTGCTCCTCAAGGCGGTAGCCCTACCCTCTTTTGTCAACCGATCCGCTCGTGAAACAAGAGCGAACGACACCTCGTCATTACAAGGATCTCGCAAAGGCACGGCGTCCATCCGTCGGTCGGTCGGTCGGTCGGTCGGTCGGACGGTCGGGGTCGGTCGTTTGCCTCACCGATCCGCCTGTACGATGCCTCCAAGGGCTGAGCGAATCGAGGAACCGGGGGGAGCATCCATCCCCGCACCGCCCTGTCGATCACAATGGCGGCGCCGCCGACGACGACGACGGCGACGGCGACGAGGGGTTGATGCTGCCGGCGAGTTGGGACATGGATGCAAAGGGGTCGCGGTAGCTCTTGTGCGTCTGCTGGTACCACCTGGCATAGTCTCGCTTGAGCGTGTCGACCTGGGCGTGGAGCGAGGCTACCTGGTTGGCCAGCGCCATAAACGACGCGTGCTGCGCCTGGATCGTATCCGATATCGCTGCGGATCGGGACGGAACGGAATGGGACGGCAGGGATGAGTTGATTGAGCGGCCAGAAGAAAGAGCAGCGCATGGTGAGCCGGTTGTCTCGTCGCTGCCCCCCTGATCCCGTGGCGGGGACACGACCCTGCCGCTCGCCGCTCGCTGCTCGCCGCTCGTCACTCACCCTGCGGGGTAAAGGTATCCCGCCTCTCCAACCCGGCCAGGTGCCGCTCGACGGTCTCCATGCCGTTGCGGTACCTCTGGATGCGTCGCTGGAAGTCGTCGGCCAGGTGGCCAAAGTAGGTCTGGAGCCACTCTACAAAGCCGGCGCCGTCGCTGCGCCCCTCGCGGGCGTTGGATGCAATGGCGTACAGCGTGGCCTGGTCGGCCCGGTCGCGCTCGATGCGTTCGGCCACGTCGCGCGACTGCGAGCTGTCGAGTTCGAGCGTCGCTGCTAGCGAGGTCAGCGCCTGATCGTTGCAAGGGAGGGAGGAGGGGGGAGGGTAAGAGGGGAAAGAGGAGGAGGAGGAGGGGGGAAAAGAACAAGGGCAGTGTCAGTCGGGCACGCGAGGGGGGGGGGGGGGGGGGGGGGGGCAGGTCGACAACCGCGACAATCGGTCGACGACGCACCGAGTCGAGTTCCTGCCACTCTGCAGCGCATTTACGGATCTCGACGCCAAAATCTTTGGTCTTGAGCTCGTCCTTGATCTGGAGCTGCGTCGAGATGTGCTTGCTAAACGGGGGGAAAGAAGGGGAGGGAAGGCGGGTCCACGCGGGCGGCAGGCAAGGGGCAAAGACGCGTCGTCGGCGTGGTCAGCGTCCTGCAGGGCCGACTGCGACGGGGGATGGCCGCTGCGAAACACTTACTCGAGCTCCTCTACGAGCTTCCTGGCGTCTTCGGGCAGGTCGTTGTAGCGTTCCCTTTGCTGGTATGCGAAGCGGAAAAAGGGAGATGCGGCGACCTGTCCCTGCTGCTGCTGCTGCTGCTGCTGCTGTTGGCCGAAAGGCTGCTGGGATCCGCCGGGTTGGAAGCCGGATTGGCTGCGCGGCGAGAGGGCAAGGTGGGATCGAAGGGGGCGAGATCAGCCATGCGTTCGATGTTGGGATCGCAGTCGAATGGTGCAGGCCGAGCTGCGGGCTTACCTCTGACCAAAGAGGCCGGTGTTTGAGCTGGTCGACGCTCCAAAGAGTCCGCCGCCGCCTTGCTGCTGCTGCTGCGGCTGCTGGGGCTGCTGGGTCGAGGTGGATGCGCCAAAGCTGAAGCCGGAGGTGGTGGCGGGTTTGTTGGTCGATGCGGCGCCAAAGAGGCCGCTCCCGCCGCCGCCGGTGGTGGTGGTGGTGGTGTTGCCAAACAGCCCGCCGGTGGTGGTGGGCTGAGAGGTGTTGGGTGCCGCGCTGTTGGTCGTGGATCCAAACAGACCTCCTCCTCCTCCAGCGGCGGCAGGTTTGGGAGCAGCAGCGCCGAAGCTGAATCCGGTCGATGGCTGCTGCTGCTGCTGCTGTTGCTGTGGTTGTGGTTGTGTGGACGCCGCGCCGCCGCCGCCGCCGCCAAAGGAGAAGCCGCCCGATGTGCCGGCGAATGGTTTTGTTGCGGGAGGTTGGGAGAAGCTGAAGCTGGCTGATCGACCGAGCGTCGAGGACGTGTTGGTCGTCGAGCCAAACATGACGGGCGCGCGGGCGGGGTGGCGACGGTGGTGGCGTCGACTGTGGGGGGAGGACGAGCGAGGAGGAGGGCGAGGGCGAGGGTGAGGGTGTGTGGTGGGTGCCAAGGACAGAGCGGGGGGCGGGGAGGGGGAGCGTCTGTTTAGTGAGGGCAGAAAGAGAGAGAGAGGCGAAGCGCGTTGATGGGTTGGTCTGCCAGGCCTGTCAACTGCACTCCCGTCTTCCGGAGTCGCCTCGCCACGGCGCTTCATCGGGGGCTAGGAGCCTGCCAGGCTCGACCCAACCGACTCGACAAAGGTGTGTGCTCTCCCTCGTCGCTTTCCCCGTTGCCCTTCGACGACGACCATTATTGGCGTCTTACTCGACGTCCATCCATTCAAGCACACACGCACGCACGCCAAAAGGCAGCCCGCAACCATGTCAACGCCGACGCCCGCACAGCACCCAATATCCAGCCAGCAACGGCCAGCCAACGACGACATGGCCACGTCCCAATGGCCCCGCCTCATCCCCGCCACGACCCAACGTCCGCCCCACCTGCCCCGCCACCACCTCAACGGCACCCAGGACGTATTCCGCCTATTTGACCTCGTACCCATCTACGACCGCGCAGTCAGACCTTTCCTCCAGCAGCAGCAGCAGCAGCAGCAGCAGCAGCAGCCGGCGGCCACTCCGCTCGCCAGCCACGCCGCACCCACTCCATCCTCGTCGACCCCGCTCCCCTTTCCCCTCGCACCGCACCTCGACACCTCCCTCACCCCTACCACAACCGCCACCGCCGCCACCACCACCGCCGCCAACGCTACCACCGCTGCACCAGCGGGATCCACGACGGCGGCCATCAACAAGCGCGCCAAGCCGCCCGCCACCTACGCCCACTACCTCTCAGACATCGCGGGCAGGGTCAAGCCGCCCAGCAAGCGCAACCGCGCCGCCAAGCCAGACAAACCCTCGACCTCGCTCGTCGCCATCCTCAACAAGCCCGAATACACGCCCCAGCGCATCCTCCCCTTTGACGCAGAGACGCTCCGCTCCGCCTTTGTCGTGCAGAGCGGGCCAGTCGACGAGGTCAGTCACCCCTGCCGCCCGCCCTCGATGGCACAACCTCCCAACACCCCGGGCACACCCGTCCCTCCGTCTCATATCTCTGTCTTCTCTGTCCCCTTGTGCACACCTTGACTCGCCCCCCGCAGATCGACCAAAGCCTCCTCGAGCCCGACGAGGAAGATGCTGCACCGCGAAAGAAGAAGAAAAAGAGGGACAAGGCCGCCGCGCCCGCTTCTGCTGCCGGCACGGCACCACCCTCGACCGCCGCCGCCGCCACGCCCAGACCTCGTTGAATCGCACAGAGAGACGCCGCCTCGCACCTTTACCCTGATCCTCACCAGCACGATACCCGCACCATAGCTGCAATCTCATCCACGCGCACGCACGCGCACACGCACGCATGTCTCTCGACACCTTTCCCGGACTGACACCGGTCGTGGTGATGGAATGCCCGGCTTCCCTTCCAGGTGTCGAACCGGAATGTTTGGTCAACCAACGAGTCGACGAGGGGAATAGTGCCGCCGAGGGCAGTGCCGGCGCCGGCTAGGCCTCGACGCCGAGGCGCTTTGCCACCTCTTCCACCGTCTTCCACACCTCGTGCCCGGGACCCGCGCCGCCCTGGTCGAGCTCCCTGCGCACGTCGTCCTCGGTCTTGCCTCTCCTGGCGGCGCTGGCCAGGCAGCCCTGGACGACGTCGAGGAGGTGCGCGTTCTCGAGGGCGGCCGCCACGCGCTCCTTGTCGTTGAGCTGCTTGTTGACGGCGTTCTCGGACTGGTGCGTCCCCGGCCGCACGCGGATGTCGACCTTAAACCGCGGAGGCAGCGCGCGCAGCAGACGGACGCGCAGAGAGAGGCCTGCCAGGTCGTCGGCGGGGTACACAAGAGCCACAGAGAGAAAGGGTGCGCGAGCGAGAGATGAGCACGAGAAACCGAAGGGGGGATGGCGGGACTGGGCTGGGCTGGCGCACTCACCGATGAGGGTGGCCATAGAGCAGTGCGGGATGGTCGGAGTAAACTCGAGGAGGACGTGGGGCAGCTTGTTGGCGGCAGCGTCTCCCTGTTCCACGACAATGTGCGAAGCGTTGACGACGGCGAGCTGTTCGAGGGTGAGCGGGTGCTCTGGATCGGTGATGGAGCGGATCAGGTCTGCGGGCAGAGACAAGGCCAACGAGTAGGGCAAGCGAGGGGAGGAGAGTGTAAGCCGGGCGGGGTTCGGGGCAGTGGCACGGGACGTGGCTGTGGGCGAGTGCGACTGACCATAGACTTCCTGGCTGTCGATGAGCTCTTCGTGGTTTCTGGCCGCAGCCGCCGTGTCGAGGCCGGTTCCGAGTTTGCCGCCGACCGACTCTGGTAGCTGGATGTGATCGCCCGTGTTTCGCGGTGGTGCGCCGGAGACGATGCCGTGGTCGAGGTCGTCGCCGTGCAGGCCATTGCCGTCGTCAACATCATCGTCGTCGTCGGCGTCATCGTCATCATTTGGGCTATCGACGCTGAAGGCGAGGGTGTCGTTTGCGAGGGCCGCCGACGAGGAGGCCGACGAGTGGACCGAGGGATCGCGCCACCACTCTTGCGCGCCCGCTGCTGCCGCGTGGGCCGAGTCGCGGTTCGAGGCGAGCTGCGACGACGACGAGGGGGTGTAGATGATGGGATTCGCGTTGTCCTTGGATGCCATGGTGAAGTTTGGTGCTGCGGTGGCAGAAAGAGGGAGAGAGGCGGGCTGCGGAGGGTGATGATGGTGGACGGGGGTGGTGGTCGGGTGGCAAAGAGGGCGGCGACCCGCGCACGGCACAGCGTCGGCCACGCCTCGGCCCCGCGCCTGACTCGGCCCGCATGTGGAGGCTGGCCGGCCGGCACGCGCGAAAAGCCAACACAACTCTTCCCCAGAATGCGAATGAGCCCGAAGAGAAAATCGGTCTTGCACACGATTGTCATGCTGTTCTGCCAGTTTTGGCCACAAACGAGTGGGTCCTTGTACTGATCTCAGACATGCAGTGACATGAAGGCCAGCAGGCAGTGGTATGTGCCACAGCACGGCAGCAAGGGGGGGGAAGGTAGGTAGAGGCAATGTGCCAGCCGTATTTGACACACCCATGTCCAGAATGCGCGCCAGAGGTGCTCCTCGGTTCACGATGCCAGGTTGGGCGAGAGAAAGTCAGGCCTCCTGGAAGCTGTTTTCAGGTGCTTGTGCTTGCAAAAAGGCAAAAGGAATGTGACAAGAGTGGGATTCGAACCCACGCCCGAAGACAGCGGTGAACTCGAATGAGCTCTTGACCTCAGATGACCTGAACGCTGCGCCTTAACCACTCGGCCATCTTGCCCTTGTATGCAGGGAGGAACTATTATTGCAGATATAATTGTTCTCGTCAAGTTACGAGCGCCCAAGAGATATCAACTGCCGCCTCATTGGTGGCCAGCACCGACCTCACCCAGGCTGCCATTCCGACGACGAGGCCGGGCCCCTTTGCGGAGGGCAAGTCGTGCACAGGCATGCTTTCTGATAGGGAGGACTGGCTGGCAAACCAGCGCGGATCAATGGCATTCGCACGTCTAGGCTGGAGAGGACACGAGAGGGCCAGCGAGCGCCCTTTCAGTTGACGTATCGGTAGGCAAGGTAGGCGCCGAGGACCAGCAGCGGAATGAACATAAAGATGGGGCTGTTCAGGAGGGGAGAGGAGGGGGAAAGGCGAGTGAGAAGGGACGGAGTCAGATGGCGGCGCGCTTGGTAGTCGCTCGTGTCGCTGCGGGACGGGAGCCGCGGCTGGCGAGCTAGCCCTCTACTCACTTGCTGTTCTGGTCGGGGCTCTCGTTGCTCTTGATACCGCTCGTCGTCTTGATCGACTTGGACTGCGGCGAGGGGGAAACAAGCGGGGGGTCAGCACATCGGCGGCGGGAAGAAGCAGGAAGCTGCCGCGGCGGGCGTCAATGTGCCGCCAAAGCGCAACCACTCACGCCACCCTCAATCTCGCCGACAAGCATGGGTCCAAGGAGGCTGCGGGCGTCGTCCGAGTGTCCGACATCCTCAAAGGCCTCGGTGGCGTCCTTGCCCGCCTCGGTGAGGAGGACCTCGTCACCGCCGGGGTGCTGCGGAGAGGATAGGCGACCAAGGGAGAGCAGTCAGAGGTCAGCCAGCCGGGACGGAAAGTGGGTGGAGCAGCGGTCCAGCCCAGCTCGAGCACTCACCTCGTCCGCAAACTTGGAAACGTCGTAGACTGCGTGGCGGGCGGGAGGGGGGTATGAAAGGTCAGCTCGAGCTCGCGAGAGATTAAGCTATGCGTGCTGCGTGGCAGACGACAATGCCCTCCTCTGAGCCGCACCCCGGCAGCACCAGCAGCAGCAGCAGTAGCAGCGGACGACAAAGGCGGGCGGGAGGGCATCGGATCGCCTCTCGGCCTGGCGCGGTCCGCCCGAGACGCACCCTTTCCGTCGATGAGCAGCCAGAGGTTGTCGTTGGTGCTGTGCTGACCGAGCTCCTCCATCGAGATGGTCTTCTGGTTGGACTTTTCGTTCTCGGCGGACATATTGAAGGGCTGTGCGGGGTTTGGTAGGGAGGATAGGGCGTAGGGTGAAAGGTAGGATGTGTGATGGTAGTGGTAATGACGGTGGTGGCGCGGAAACGGCAAGCACGGCCACGGACACGGCCACGAGCGTTGCTGCATCTCGGAATTTCAGGCAGCGCCGCCCACCAGCCAGACGGCCTCAGAGAGACTCAGAGAGGGAGAGCGCGGGGGAGACGGCCGGGCAGGCAGGCGCCCAGCAAGCGGCCGTCCTGGTCGTCCTCGCCTGGCTCTGGCTCAGGTTTAGGCTCCCGCTCCGTCTCCCGGTCGGCTCCCCTGCCGCCGCTGCCCAGGCCAGCGCCGGGCGTGGGTGCCTCTGGCGGCCGCCAAAAAAGGCCGAGAGCTGCGCTGAAGCTGAAAGCCCGGACCGCTCCTCCTCCGCCCCAGCCTCGTTTGGGGCGGGGGTGGTGGGCCAGGGCGTTTGAAATCCGCCCGCCCTCGTAGACTCGCCAGGCTGCCAGGCCAAACCACGCCCCCTTGTCGCGCGGCTGGCCTCACTCCTGGCTGACGCGGATCGTCGTTGGTCACCGCCTGGCCTGGCCTTGCGCTCCCCAGCCTCTCGGCAAACGTGGCAAGCCCTGAGCTGGTGATGATGCCTGGCAGTCGGCCATTTCACGCGCCATCAGAACACCTGGCCTGTCGTCGTCGTCGTCGTCCCAAGTGACGTCGCGCGACCGTCCCCATATCGACTTTGCGTGCAGCCCTCGACCGACGCCACTTCTGCCAAAAAGGGCCCACAAAATGTTGGCAAAAAGCAGGCACCCCAAAAACATCCTTCAAAAAGATCGACCATGGGCGGATTCGAACCAACGACCTTGACATGGCGGGATCTCGTCCTGCACGAGCGTCCTAACAGTGTCACGCTCTAACCAACTGAGCTACACGGCCGAATGATGTCAAGGGGGCAAATTGTTGATATAATAAAACCTAGCGGGAAGCGCTCCTATCGCCCCTCCCCCGATCACGCCCGGCACACGAGCGTTTTTCGGAAGCGAGGCGGGGCGGCAGGGGAAGGCTGGCCCGAGCTCTGGCTGTTGGCTCTCGAGCCAGCCAGCGAGGCGTGCGCTGGCCACGGCGGGCTGCTGCCCTTGCTTGGCTGCCCTGCTGGAGGGAGAGGCAGAGAGAGCTTCGCGTCCAGGCACGCATGCCTACGCCCTTCTGGACCGCCTCGACACCCAACCCACCCGCCGCCGCCGCCATCATCACCCTCCCTGTCTCAACCTCGCCGCGCCTCTCCCGCCTCAACGCCGGCTTCATCGCACCACATCGCTGCGGCGTGACTCGCTGACCCGCACATCATCCCGACGCTGGCCGGCTCGACGCCGACGACGACGACGACGACGACGACCAACACATCCTTTGCACCCTAAGCCGACCTTCCACTGACTGGCGCCGAGCACCGTGCAGCCGACTCCAGCTCCTCCGAACCGCCGCTCTGAGCTGAACGGCAGTCTAGACAGCAGAGCATCCCTCTGGCACCGCACCGCCGCTCGAGAGTCGACGCACCCGCCCTCACCCGCCCTCTTGACGATAGACGACCGCCGCCCCTGCCGCCGCCGCCGCCACTGCCGCTGCCGCCATGCCGATGCTCCTCGACATCCAGCGGAAGCTCTTTGCCCGCTCCGAGCGGGTCAAGAGCGTCGACTTCCACCCGACCGAGCCCTGGCTGCTCGCAGGCCTGTACAGCGGCTCGGTCAACATCTGGAACTACGAGACCGGCGCCATTGTAAAGACGTTCGAGGTGACAAACGTCCCCGTTCGCTGCGTCAAGTTCATCGCCCGGAAAAACTGGTTCGTCGCCGGCTCAGACGACTTCCAGCTGCGCGCGTTCAACTACAACACCCACGAAAAGGTCACCGCCTTCGAGGCGCACCCCGACTACATCCGCTGCCTCGCCGTCCACCCGACGGGCAGCTACGTCCTCACCGGCAGCGACGACATGACCATCAAGCTGTGGGATTGGGAGAAGGGCTGGAGGCTGATCCAGGTGGGTAGACGCGGCGTTCGGTACGATGTCGCTCGCTCGCCTGCAGGCCGCCCTACCTCGAGCGCCGATTACGGAGCTCGTGCCGGGCTGAGCTCGCTCCATCGCTGCCGCTGCTGCTGCTGACGCTCCTCTTCCCGCGCCTCGCCTCGCTTCGCCTCGCCCCTTCTCTCGCCTGCCCTGCCTCGACCGCCGTCCAGACCTTCGAGGGCCACACGCACTACATCATGAACCTCTGCTTCAACCCCAAGGACTCGAACACGTTTGCCTCGTCCTGCCTCGACCGTACCGTCAAAGTGTGGACGCTCGGGTCGAGCGTGGCCAACTTCACCCTCGACGCCCACGACAAGGGCGTCAACTATGTCGAGTACTTCCACGGCGGCGAGAAGCCCTACATGCTCACGACGGGCGACGACCGCACCGTCAAGATCTGGGACTACCTCTCCAAGTCGTGCGTCCAGACCCTCACCGGCCACACGTCCAACGTCTCGTTTGCCGTCTTCCACCCGTCGCTGCCGCTCATCATCTCGGGCTCCGAGGACGGCACCGTCAAGCTGTGGCACTCCAACACCTACCGCCTCGAGTCGACGCTCGACTACGGCCTCGAGCGCGTGTGGTGCGTCGCCTACAAGCGCAACGGCAACGACGTCGCCTTTGGCTACGACGAGGGCGCCGTCGTCGTCAAGCTCGGCAAAGAGGAGCCCAGCGTCAGCATGGACGCGGCGGGCAAGGTGGTCTGGGCGAAAAACTCCGAGGTGCTCAGCGCCAACGTCTCGACGACCATCGGTACGTCCCCAACCGAGCGAAGCAAAGGGGCGCCCACGGACGACGCCCCTGGATCCCGACGACACCAACTGATCCCTTCTCTCGTCTCTCTTCCCATCCATCTCCCGGCTTCCCCGCCCCTTCCCCCCCTCTTTCTCCCCGCGCCCAGACGACGGTGTTCCGGAAGGCCAGAGGATCCCAGTCTCGGTGCGCGAGATGGGCTCGACCGAGGTGTACCCGCAGCTGCTGCAGCACAGCCCCAACGGCCGCTTCGTGACCGTGTGCGGCGACGGCGAGTACATCATCTACACGGCGCTGGCGTGGAGGAACAAGGCGTTCGGGTCCGGCCTCGGCTTCGCGTGGGCGAGCGACAGCAACACGTATGCCGTCCACGAGGGCGGCGCCAAAGTCAAGGTCTTCCGCAACTTCAAGGAGCGCCCCGGCCTGCTGACGCTGGCGTACGGTGTCGAAAACGTCGCCGGCGGGTCGCTGCTCGGCGTGCTGGGCCAGGGCTTTGTCTGCTTCTACGACTGGGAGACGGGCGCCCTGGTGCGGCGGATCGACGTCGAGGCCAAGGCCATCCACTGGTCCGGCACGGGCGAGCTGGCGGCCATCGTGTGCGACGACAGCTTCTACATCCTCCGCTTCAACCGCGACGCCTACGCCGCCCACCTCGACTCGGGCGCCGACGTCGACGACGACGGCGTCGAGGACGCCTTTGAGGTCATCACCGAGGTCTCGGAGTCGCTGCGCACGGCCAAGTGGACCGGCGAGTGCTTCATCTACACCAACTCGACCCACCGGCTGCAGTATCTCGTCGGCGAGCAGATCCACACCATCACCCACTCGGACGACGAGCTGTACTTGCTGGGCTACATCCCGCAGCACGGCCGCGTCTACCTGGTCAACAAGGACCTGTCCATCTTCAGCTACAACCTGTCGCTGGCCATGGTCGAGTACCAGACGGCCATCCTGCGCGGCGACCTCGACGCGGCGGCCGAGCTGCTCGGCAGCGTGCCGGCCGACCAGCGCAACAAGGTGGCGCGCTTCCTCGAGACCCAGGAGCTGCGCCAGCTCGCCCTCGACGTGTCGACCGACCCGGACCACCGCTTCGACCTGGCCATCTCGCTCGACAACTTTGACACCGCCCTCGACATTGCGCGCTCCGGCCCGCAGACGGGGTCCGAGTCGAGGTGGAGGACCATCGGCGACAAGGCGCTGGCGCAGTGGAACGTCGCGCTGGCGCAGGAGTGCTTCGAGAGGGCGCAGGACCTCTCCTCGCTGCTGCTCGTCGCCACGTCGACAAACGACCGCGACGCCCTGGGCCGGCTGGCCGACCTGGCGCACGAAAAGGGCTCGACCAACGTGGCGTTTGCCGCCTACCTGCAGCTGGGCGAGGTCGACGCGTGCATCGAGCTCCTCGAGCGCGCCGGCCGCGTGTCCGAGGCGGCCATGTTTGCGCGCACCTATGCGCCGTCGCGGGTGCCGGAGCTCGTGCAGCGGTGGCGCAAGGAGCTCGAGAGCACCAACCGGCACAAGCAGAACGCCATCGCGGCCAGCATCGCCGATCCCACCACCGACGAGGCCCTCTTTGAGGAAGGGTGGCAGGCCGCGCTGGCGCGAGAGGCCGAGGTGCGGGCGAGCGCGCCGCCGCCGAGGAGGACTGAGACTGACCG